TGAATTCCTACCCACAAAAGGTCAGATGAGAGCTGCACCGGCCTCGCAGCGCCCATCCGCAGGGGCCTAGGGTGGGAGACACCCACCCCTGCAGTGCCATAGGTGTAGGTCCCCCCAGCAGAGCTCGCCGTCTAGATTCTTTTTGCAATCAATAGCGAGAATTCATTTGGCCTATTTTAGATGAATGCCTTCAGATCAGATGAGCTGCAGCCTGGAAATGCCCATTTCTCTTTACTATGCAGCTGAACCTACACAAGCCAACATCTGCATCTTCAGTACACTTAAGCAAAGGGTTTCCCACCTTTCTGGGGGGGTAAGCAGACTTCGTTCTCTGAGCTACAGCTTTCAATTCCCTATCCACTGGGCTTTGACAGAGTTCCCAGATGGCAGACAGCACAGAAGAGCAAGTTCTTCTGGCAACCCAGCCCACAGATCTAGACTGCACAAGGCAGGAATGGAAGGAGAGAGTCTGAACTCTACTTTCCAGGTTGCATGAGCAGGGCACCAGCTGTTGTTATTTCAGAGAAGATAACCAGTCTCCAGCAGACACTGTGGAAGGAACTCGGGGATCAGCAGGCATCTCTCTTCTGTGAGCTCTGCAGTGCATACATGTCTTTGCAACAGCCCGGAGCTGAACGGAGAGAATTCTCAATCATGATGTGAAGATGTAAATCCCCTCCCCAGAGGTTTCAGAGATGGGCTTTTTTTAATGCCTTTCTGAAGATTGTCCCATTCTAACTGGCATAATTTCTTCTCTGGGTTCCCATATCTTCGCCAGGGGACTCCCTATGTGATCACAGGCCAATTACCTTTCCCTTGACAGCATTTGGGTACCCTTCCATCAAAACCAAGCATGCAGTATTTTCTTTGCCCATCCTGTTTACTTGCATGCTATGCTCCAGTGCAGACCAGATGTTCACAGAACCAAGGACTCTGGAGTATCAAACCACGTGTCAGGAACTAACAATAAATAGTATTCCAGGGCAGTGGACAGGCTGGAGCTGGGCCAGCAGTGACCAATGCATTAACACACACTTTGAGAGCTAATACATCCCCTGCTCTTAAAGAACAGCACAAGAAGCGCAGGAAGCCTTGTACAGAAGCTTAGCTCTTGTCCCATCTCTAGGAAAATAGCTCAGATCCAGGCAGGAGGGGGATCTTGAGCATTTCCTATTTATTCTGCTGTCACTGCCAAGTTATATTCAATAGTGACTAATACACTGTATTACTTAGAGCACTTGGGGGTGGGCCATGTGTCTAGATCAGGATATGAAGATTAATTATGGGCCACACCCTGTGATCTCCACTCAGCAAAGCCCTTATTAGCTTCTGAAGGTGAATCCAGCCCTGACGTCAACTTGCCAAAGCAAACACAAACAGTGGGGTCTCACCTGAGAAAAAGGAAGAATCTATCCTCACTCTTCAGACCTTATGCTTGGCAAAGATCACTTCTCTTGCCAGCAGAGAAGCAAAACACCAGCAGGTAACCGATTCAGGATCTCCACAAGCAAAGCATAAAAGACAACACGTTACAGAGAACAAGGACCCATGAAAAAGACACTGTAGAGGGCCCTTCCAATGTTATTGCTTCCAGAAGATGCTTTGCCTTCGGGTGCGTTGAAGCCACACCAAATGCACCTCCAGCCATACCCCCAAACAAGACTTACAGCTACAGCCCACCTAACTTTTGAAGGCTACTGCATGTAATGGAGGGCTGCAGAAAAAGTGGAGGGCGAGAAAGCCACAGAGGGCATCACCCACAGAGAAAGATGCTGACCAAGGCCTGCTGGTCCCCAGAAGTCAAAGATCTTGCTGGTAAGCCCATATGAAAAGCAGCCCTGGAAGCCAGGCAGCCTCTGGCACTGCTCATCCCTGCAAGACAAAATGCACAGGGATGCAAGGAAGGACCATATCCTGTCTTCCTATGGATTCAAATCTGCCCACTGGGTTTTGTTTGAAGAAACAAAACTGCTTTTGTGCAACTTTTTTTTGAGCTAGTAGAAACAGAACAAGGGCAAGAGAGAGCAAAAGCATTGCAAAAGGCAAGTCTCCAAGAAACACTAAAAAATGAATTACAACATTTGCCCTAGTGTCCCTTAAAAGACAGTTCTTTTAATTTCCCAAGGTTTCTGCTTTTGCAACGTGAGGGTGCTGGAAAAGATTAAAAGGGCAGACACACTGTTTTCCTTTCAGAAAGCATTATTTTGACATTGAGCAGCCAGCTTCACACAAGGGAAGAGCGTGTGCTCACACTTCGTTACTGGAAGATTTCTTTGTCGGCTTAGGCCAGACCTCCCTGCTACAGCAATTGCTTACCAGAAAAATGCAGCATTTGTGAGCATGCTAAAAATGGACAAGGCCCTGCACATTGGAGGTGCTTGGTGCTCTTCTTGCCTCGGAAAACACATAATTGCAGAGCAAAAGACAGAAAGGTGCAGAACACCACTGCAGGTCAAGGGAGGAAAGAGAGCAAATCCAGGCATCGGTGTAGTTGGTTGGAGCTCTTTAGGACACTGCCCTGATGAGGACAAAGCCACAGGAGAACAGAATCACTGGCCCCAGTGACTATCAGGCCTGTGACACATCCACGGTGACAGTCCCTTCCTAGGGTTGGGGCATTATCCCCCCTTTGCATTCACTCTCCACCATGAGCCACCTCAATGGGTCAGGAAACTTTGGGATGCCAACTAACAAGTGGGAAAGCTCTCCCCCTTTCCCTCCTTGCTGACACGTGTGTGTGAAGGGACACCTTTACGGATACCCTCTCACTTTGCCGTCCTAGAGAACTGAAATGACGTGAGGCTTGGGTCCCCTCTTCTGCACCTTCCTCTGATCAGACTGGCTTGGAGGGAGCCAGCTCTCATTAAAGCTGTTACTGCGTTGCTAACGACTCCAAGTTCACAGTGCTCCGCTGGAGAAGCGGAATGCCTATGGGGCGCACAGGGAGGGATTTACAACTCAGCTGCATGAAATGGGAAAGTACTCAGAGCCGACATCACCAATTTCATTTTTCTTCCTCTGTCTTTCATACACCCATACATAATCAACCAGGAAACTAAAATGATTGGTCAGCTACCTTCCCATTCTAGTAGCATCCACTGTCCTGCTGACTTTGGCCATTTCCAAAGCTCTTGGCCCCTGTCACGGAATTAATCCTCCTGGGAGAAATATCCTTCTCTTTCACTGTCTAATTATTCAATTCCTTCACCAGAACATCCTCCACATTCCTCAATGCTTTGAAGCTGACACGGAAAACAGAGTCGGGTGCTACCTACAGAAAGAAGATATTTTACCCTCTTTTCCCAAGTGCCTCCATCTTTCCACACCTTTTTGTTCCCAACTCTGTCAGGTAAGTCAAGAAATCCCAGCCGCTGTAACCTTCTAGCCATATCTTGGTCAATTCACTCACATTGGAGATCTGTGTACAGAGAAGGACTAGTTACACGAACAAGGCAAGCAAGATGCATCTTGGGTGAGTTAGGAGAATTTCCTCATACGAGCAAGGATTACTCACAAAACAAAAGAATGGCTTGAAGCTCCGCTGTGCTTTTACACAGCCCTTCTTCCACATTTATGCGCACGCACAAACACACTCAACCCCAGTCTTTTATACAAGTTGGTGACACCTCACTGTAGATAGTCAGGGACACTAGCAATTTAGACAAGTACGTACAGACCTGCGCAACAGACTGCATAGTCTCTTTCAGTCCATCACACTGGACCATAAGCTCCTTAGATGCGTATACAAGCTCTTATGTCAATTGATGGCACGCTGGGGCTCATGACTTTCTGCACTGTGTGCACGTAAGTGGGGACTTCTGTGACACGTCATTATCTAAGTAACCAAAGCAAATGCTGCCTAACCCCATGCCAAGACCCATCAAGAAGCTCCTGAAGGCAAGGGGAGGAGGGGGTATCTGACAGATAGCAAAGAACAAATGGATATTGCAACAACAAGATCCTGCCAAAGATAGTGAGGGACACCCAGCCAAGACCTCTACTTGCTGGGATTAACTGGATATGGGCTCCATGGCTGTAAACATCAGGTTCTCCTCAGTGCACTCCCAAACATCTGGGCTAAGCCATCTCCCAATACTATTTGAAGTTGCGCTTTCTGGTCTGACTGAGAGAAATTAGGACTTTCAGGGTCAGAGACCCAGGAATTGAGTCAGAGAGAGGCCCAGCAGGGAAAAGGAAAGCATCATTTGTGGACAGCTTCATTGATCACCATAGACTTTCTCCCCCATAATCACTATTTTTCTTCCCCACCCACTCCCACAACATAACATCACACAGAGATCACCCCTCAGATGGCAAAGCATCGCTCAGCCATCTCCTATCCCTCCAAAAGATAGCACTCAGAAAGCTTTTCCCTTTAAGCAGCCTCAAAGTTGGCTCTCACCACTGCTGGCACGGATGAAAGGGATTTCAGTTCCCCCTCCTCCTAAATCCCATCCCTTTCTGTTGCAAAGAAAAGGCAGAGGATGACCAAGGGAAGAGAAAAGCAACTCTCAGTTGCCTCTCACCTCCCTCCCGTCTTTCTGCACGGATGCACCGGTGGGATGGAAGGGCACTGGGCCATTGTAGCCCCCACGCAGCTTCCCCAAGAGCCACACGCAAGCCCACGAGGGGACCCCCACAGCAGGTGCAGGTCTGGGAGGGCAAGGCTGGGAGCACAGTGCTCCTGGAGGCGAGACAGGGGCATATTTCCCCATAACCCAGCCAGCCTTCCCCCGGCAAAGCAGCTCGGTGTCCTCAGGCACCCAGCCTGAAAAAGGGGGGGGGCAAAGTGATCTCCAGCACTGCAGCCCCCGGGACCCATTCTGCATTCTTTAAATACACTGGGAGGGGTAGAAAAATCCCTTTGAGTCTTCCCTGCTTCCTCCCACTCCCTGCCTGCTGCATACACACATACACCACCCCCCCCCCCACCCCTGTGCATAAAGGATCTCTGTCCTGCTCAGCTCAGCCATGCAATGCCTGCAAGAAGCAAGAGTTACCTTATTCCCATAGCCTGAACCGCCTTCTCTCTCCATCGTGGCTGGGAAGCTGCTCCCATTCATGCTTTAATCCCTGGGAACAGAGGTACGATTCAAAGCGGCTGTTCACCCACCGGAGTCGGCTCCCCCCAGCAACCTCCTCCTCCTTCTCTCCTCCCTTTTTCCTCGTTTGTTGGGTCTGGAATTTTTTAATTTTTTTTTACGTATTCTTTCTTAATCCAGGCAGCAAGCAAGACATTCCTTCATCGCTTCTTTGCCTCCTCGTTTCACTTGCAAAGAAACAGCATTGGAGAGCTCCTTCCTCCTCCACTGCCTCTGTGGACCTCCGGTTCCCCAGGTCTGCCTTTCTGCAGCGTGGCGTTAAGGGAAAGAAAGAGAGTGAAAGAGAGGGAGGGAGGGAGCGTGCAAACAGGGAGGAGGAGGAGGAGGCCAACGGGGTGCGGGAGGAAGGAGCCAGAGCGTGGCTGGCTGCTTTGTATCCAGAGCAGTGCTGACAGCCCCCTCCCTCCTCCCTACCAGAGGAGGACCTGCGCTGCTAATGGTCTGTACCAATTTATTCCACTTAGGCAGGGGCACTTCTCCCTGCGACGGGAGGAAAAGCCGAGGAAGGCTCCGAGATGGCCCCTTAAGGAATTGGTTCCTGCTCTCCTCGCTCCACGGCATCACCCACCGAGTTTGCAGCCACAGGCTGGGGGGGGACGCTCGCCCAGCTCAGCAGGCGAACGGAAAGTGTGAGGCTAGGAAGGGCTGGGCGTGAGGGAAGGGTCTTGCTGGTGAGGTGGCTCAGCACCTCTCTGAGAGAAAGCAGTGACCATATGCGAGGTGGAAAGCGAGGTTCCCCTCCAGCCTCTCAGGAAGGCAGGCTGAGCTCTGCTCCACTTTCTGCATGCCCACTTTAGTGGAAGGACCCTCTGCTCCTCATCATGCATGCCTCCGTGCCTGGACTGATGGCTCCCCAGCTGAATCCACCTGGGCTTTGCAAGTAGTGGGTACCGCTCGTTAGATCTCATGCAACTCCCCTTCTGTCTAGCACCATGTCTTTCAATGGCCCCACTCAGCCATCCCTACCCCAACAGCGAGGTATCCCCATGTCCTTCCCGGCAGCTGACGAAGGGCCCTGGCACTGGCAAAGGACAGCAGGAACGTGCTTCCCCCCCATGGGAAGGAGGCTCTGGATGTCACTAGGGCTGTCCCTAATCTGGGGACAATTGCACCAAGCCCGGTGGGCAGACAGGACGTTTCTGTGACCTGCAGGACCCTAGAGATACTCCCTCCCTTCATAGGGACCACCTGGAGGATGAGGGGCTTGAAGGGGCTGGGGAGCAGAGTAAAGATCTTACCTTCTGATACTGCCCTTTAATAGTTAACCCAGGCAGGGCTGACTCATGCTCAGCAGCAGATTTCTCCGAGATGGCTGAACACCACGTATGTCTCTGAATGCCATGCTCGCAGCTGGACAGTTTAACAAGAGCCAAAATTCAGTCCTGAGGCTGGGGGCAAGTTGCCTTTTACCTGTCCTGCTACCGCTGCCTGCTTACCTGCTTCCAACCAGGTCAACCCCCTCCATATACCACCATCTCTTCCTGGCTACATGTTCCACAGTGGACACGCACAGATCCACAGCTACAGCTACTCCCTTGTTACTCCCTCTCTTCCAGATCTGGTAAAGTTACAGCGCCATGGTAACCTGGAGGTATAGACAGATTTACTTATGCTTTACCAAAAAAAGGAACAACAAATCAAAAACACAACCTTCCACTTACTGTGAAAAGATTCAGTACTCGGGGAGCTGAGGTCCATATTGTGGAGCAATCTCAGTGATCTTCACCTGTGATTCCCACCATTTTCCCTGGGCTTTTTGTGTTGAACCTATAGCATTCAGACCCCAGTTTTAACTTGTGCATCTTGAGGGGTACCCAGGAGCAGGGATGTCTGCTATGTAGTCTGGAAGTCAAAACGTTACCCACAAATTAGCAAGCATCAAGATGCACTGACAAATCCTAACTGCATCATCACAGTGCCAGGGACAGCAGCTCCCATACTTTTTCCTCCTGAAGTGAAGCAAGCTGGAGGACTGCACGCATGGCCCCAAGCCACTGCCTCAGGTGGAAGTGAGCTTTGCTGAGACTGGCAAGGCCTGCACTGGACAAACCAGCGAGATGATGCCTCCAGGCCAGTGCTGAAGAACTGTCCTCAGAGGGTGATGCTTGAAGGAAGGTCCTTTGTAATAGCCTCTCCCCTCAAGCTGCGCCTACTCTGTGGATGAACAAGGATGAACAGGGACTGCCAATCCAGAATCCTTCATGCACAGCTAAAGAGACTGCACAGCTGGGCTAGCTTCTGCTCGGCCACCTCCTCTGCAAAATAGTTCTTGCAATCAAAGGGAACATGGCCTTTTTTTGTCCTTGGTCTCATTTTCTGCAAGGTACCTAGGGAGAGATCAGCTCCAAAGACTACTTGTCTGGGAATTTTGTGCCAATTCAGCTAGTACTAAGGGTTTCACTGAACTCTATGTGTATTAAAAATGCATAATGTCCACTTATATCAAAAGGGCGGATTCAGACCCAGCGCTTTTCCAGCATGTCCCAGGCTACCTGCTGTTACAGCATTCAGGAGATGGATTGGAAGGAACTGTCCCTTGAGGCCTATATCAAGAGATAAGAAAGGGCACATTCATTGACTATTTCAGGGCTGGGTGAGAGAGGGGAAAATGAGGGAGAAGAGACATAAAAATGCTCCTGCCACAAAACCTAAACACATAAAAACTCAGGGAGGAGGGAACGGAGATGTGCTACACCTGAGATTTATAAATATTATGGGTGAGCAGTAACATTACAGGCTCAGCCCTGCATCAGTGTCTCCGAAGACTCACAAAGGTGAAAGGCATTGGGAGAAGTGCCAGGGAAGCTCGGGTGGGACATAGACACATACAGGGAGGCATTTCTGCGTCCCTTCCCTGCCCCCCCAACTGAAAATTACAGCCTGACTCACTCAGAGCTCCTTTTTGTGATCAGAGCAGTAGAACAATGGTGCAGAGACGCTGCTCTGACATTTTCCAAGGTTGTCCCTTTGAACCTTAGCATATCGACTTGTTTGCATGCTGGGTATGGAGTGTGCCACATTCACCAGAGCCAAATTCCAGGAGAGGGCAAGCCTGCCAGCAAGAGGGGTATGGGAGGAGAGGCTCAGACAATCCTCCCGAAGGATCTCGGGATAAAGGGGGAAGGGTGTTGTTTGCCTGGAATCCAGAGTGCTTCACAGAGAATGCGAATCTGAAACACGCAGCATCGCTGTTGACAGCAGTGTATATAAACAGAACAGTATTTTCCCGCTCCCTCCCCCTTCTTATTATAGCACAGAATACCCCGAGTAAAATACATACACACAACAATCCACTATAAAAGGAAAACAAAGCCCCAAGCGTGTGCACACAAACACACGCACACACATAGATATTCTTCTGGAGAACGTAGCATATATTCAATACCTTAAATGTCATTTTTTAAATATTAAAGCTGTGCTTCTGGCTAGGTTTATTACCACAGGATTGGAGGCACAGGAAAACCTAAACTAGATGCTCACAGCCTGACACACTCTGCCTGCCCCAGCCATCCCAAGGCCCACTCCTTGATCGTGCTCCGTCTCCCCCTTCCAGACTCCAAAGCCACGCAGCAGCAGAGCCGGGGCAGACACACTCCCACCAGGCTTTTTTCCCGGGAGGGGACAGAGCTGCAGCTCCCTTTCCCCCTCTTTCCCTTGCTTGCGGCTCGCCATCTGGCACTGTCAGGAGGATCTCTGCTTGGAACCACGCTGCAGCCAGGCACAGACACGAGCGGATGCCTCTCTCCGGCTAAACAATAACCTCATTAGCCGAGGCAGCGCAGGGCAAAAGGAAGAGCGTGAGGGCAGATATTCAGCAAATAGCGGGGTACGTTTCAGCGGAGCACGCACGAGCACGGTGCTGGGCTGCTGGGAGGGAGCAGCAGAGCAGCTGGAGCAACCCAAGGTCTGATGTGGTCCACATTTCCCATCTAACCTGGCCGGCAGCCTTCCCTGCTACCCCAAATCGCAGCTCCGCTCCCTCCAGCAGCTCTGTCTTGTTTTCAGGCCTCAGGCAGCCTGAACATGGGAACTACCTCGCCTCAGGCTTTCTAGGGGTTTCCTCCACTTGTAGCCTGGGCTCCAGATTATTACTGCCTTGTGGTGCTGGACTTGAGATACGACTATCTACAGAAACAGGACGAGGAAAGAGATGGGTCAGGTTTTGAAATGACAGGCCTGAGTTCTTCAGAGCCAGCCTGACACTAGGAAGGGAGAACCTCATTTGATAGTCCCACTTACCTTGTCATGCAGATGAGAGGGACCCTAGGGTCTGGGAGAGGCCATGGAGAAAAAAAACCTCAAAGTTTGGCCCCTTTGCCAACCTTAGACAATTCCCCTTCTTCCCACAGCAGGGCTGAGCAGTAGCTGCTCATAACCACAAATCAAATTAACCACTCGTTTTAACCCTCCATGAAACAAAACCCCTCAACCTATCTATGGTGCTTCCTTTAAGTACCACTGTCCATCCCATACTCTGGAAAGGATCCTTGCTCCTGCTTTGGTTGACATGTGCATACTGGGCAAAAAGATCCTCCAGCAAGCACCCACTAGCCCAGTTATTATTCTCCAAGTGCCAAACAGAGGCCAACAGGTTTTCAAGCAGAGCATAAGCTTCTTATGGGGTGGAACAACACATTCTGCTATTTGTGCAGACTTGTTTCCAGCAACTATTGCCCTTGTTGCTGTGCTACAGAGAGCAGTTACCAGCCTTTTATTCTGTTGGGCTTCAGTGGGGGGAAAACTGGCAGATAATTCTGTGACAAATCTATTCTGAAGCCAAGGTTTCTTTTTCTTCTAGTAAAGGTACAGCAAGCAACAATAAAAGCTGTCATCCCATCCAATATCTCCTTACGCTCCACTCAAACATTCTATCTCATGGGCTTCACCTACATAAACTATCAGATGCTTCCTCATCACCCAGCTTGACTTCTGCAACCAGCCTCCAAGTGAGCAGTGGACAGGCACACACT